CCTCCAGTTACTTAGTAGAGGAAAAATGATTTAATGGAACACATACAAAAATTGTATTCATACAAATAGTAAATCACTGCAGTTCCATTTTGTTGCTCTCTGAAAATGTGCCCTATTCAGTTGTTTCTGTAAAAAAATCACTAAGAATACCTACTTTGTTCATTTGTTGAATATTTTAGAGTTGAAATGTAAAATACTTTGAGCTCAATAGTACTCAGAAAATATTATCTATGCTGGTATTAATCATTATTACCATTATCACCAAATTGCTGGATATTAAAGTAAAACTGTTATTTGGATATCAAGCAGCAATTATTTGGAAAGTCCAACTCAGCATCAAAAAGAAACAGGAAAAATATTCTTCTGTGGCCAACACATGCAAAAATACATCAAGACTCTGTAGGGAATGGGAGGAGAGTGGGAAGGTATGAGACTGTCTACTTAGGAGTTAAGCATGATTCACAATGGGCATCTCTTAAAACAAAACTTAGGAATAAGCCCTCTGAGTCTCCAAAATCAAATAGAACACCTCTGAAATATGAGACCTCAGCTATGGAAACACTAGCGATTCCAATAATTTTTGTTCTGCAGGTTGTTTTCACTGGGTCCTCTATGGGCCCACGGCTTTTTTTTTTTTTTTTCCTGTTGAAAGAGTCAGGAGAGAAGGGAATATTGGAACCATTATTATATGGCATACAAAACATGGCATAGTTTGATTTACGAGCCCATATATTATGGCCTTCCTATCACTCTTGTCATTTCGCTTTTATTTAGGTGGTTTGTTATCAGAGGATGAATTAGAATAGCCCCATAGCTCAGAGACCTGTTGTAAGCTCTCTGGGTATGTCCATATGAGGATATTTACTATGGCCTGTTTGGCCAACAACTTCTCTGAAATAATATAAAACTAGTTAAAAATTTTTATTCCAACAGACTTTTAATTATCCAGAAGGAAATTAGAATAAATAACAAAATTGTAAAGTAGGAAGGTTTTTAAATGTAAGTTCTATAAATGGAGGTAGAGAGACTGCCTGTCTTATGGAGTCTATCTATGCCTGATCTCTTTCTGGTTTTAGTTGACTATAAATATCAGAGGATCTATGATATTTAATATTTAGTCACAGAAAGGCCCTATTTGTTGCAGGTGGGAACCATTTCACGGCTGACATCTTTAATGCTTGATGCATGTGTCCATTTGTTAGAAATATATCAATCAAAAATTTCAAAGAAGATATTTTAAAAGTGGAATTATAGTAGGTTAGATACTAAGCACATAAATATAATGTATATAATTTTTATTTCATATATGACCCATGGTTAAAGAAGCTTACAAAATTGTTGTTTTTATTTATTTTTCTTTGTTCTTTTTTTATTTGTTATTGTTAGATATGCCTGAAAGTGAGTATATTTTGTCATTTCATACATACATGGAGTATAACTTATCCTAATTAGGTTCTCACTCTTGTGGTTGTATATAATGTAGTTTCATTGGCTGTGTATTCATATGTGAACATCGGAAATTTACATCAGATTCATTCTGCTGTCTTTTCTAATCCCAATCCTGTCCCGTTCCCTTCCGTTCATTCTCCTTTGTCTAATCCAATGAACTGCTATTCCCACTCCCCACCACCTTATTCTGTGTTAGCATCCTCATATCAGAGAGAACATTCGGCCTTTGTTTGGGGGGGATTGGCTAATTTCACTTAGCATGATTGTCTCCAGCTCTGTCCATTTACTAGCAAAATGCCATAACAAAATAATTATCTTGTTTTTAAAATCAACAGAGTTTTATTTTAGATAAACTTTAAAATATATAACATGCTAAAGATTTTTATCCAATAGGCATATTAATTTTTCTCTTCAAAAGTTTAATGGTTTAAAGCCACATGGAAACTTTTAAGGCAAACATCATTCTAACAGCTCATTCTAATATTGGCAAAAAGAAAATAAAAATAAAAACAGAGAAAGCTGCTGCTTTCATGGATCTGACTATGTAGCAGGCTCGAGTTATTAGAGTACATTGTACTGGAAAACAAATAACAAAGCTCTAGAGAATGTTAGTAGGTAGAAGCAGAAGCATAAGTCCAGAGCTAAGAGTACCTATCTTCCAGACTTCCAGAAGAAAAAAAGAGGCTTAATATTTCAACATAGTATGGAGCTTGGTGGGCCATAGAATAGAGAGAAGGGCCAGGGTCACTGAGAAAAAGAAATGGTAGCAGATGAAGATTAGGGAGAAAAACCCTATCAATTTATGTTCCATCTTGTAAGCCATAGTGTAGAATTTGGCTAGTAATGTGAATGTGAGCATTTTTAATAATTATTCATATTGATTAAATTATTTCTAAGTATATACTCTTTGCTCATGAATTCTTTCCCCTTCTATACTATAGAGGGCACAAAATATTAGAAAAATATTTTCCAATACTTTAATTTTTCTTCAGTAGGCAGATGTTTGAGAGATTCATACTGAGCACCAAAACATTAATTTTGAGCAAATGATTATTACTTTTTTGAGCAAATAGTTGGTAAAAGACCTCAATTAATGGAATTTGAATTTGAGAGAAGTTTTATTTTCTATGTAGTCATCAGAAAATTGTGTATGTTTAAAAAATGAGAATAGGAATGATATTCTCAATATAACTGAATCCATGGGAAAATAAGACAATTGAAAGGAGAACTGAGCAGGAATAAATTATGAAACTCAATATTAGAAAGTTCTGGTAAAATTATCAACACTTCACTGTTTTAGTTACTTCTAAAATATCTCTTACTACATTGTTTTAAAAAACACATTGCTGTATTTAGCAGATATCATTAGAATCAAAATTATCTTTAAAAGTCCAATTTCAAGCAGGTGCTATTAAGTCTATGAAAGACTAAAATTTTTAGTTTATTTATATAATCTAAATTTTATTGGGTTTATTTATAGAGTCACAAGTTAAAACTCTACTAAGCTGAAACTACAAGTAATTATATGTTAAAACACTTACATAAGTGACAAAATCATAGTTTTGTACCACAGGTGGGTGCAATCAAACAGAATAAGCAAATAGAATAAATGAGTCCACATTCCATGCAAAAATCCTGAATTCTTCCCAACATTTAAGTGTAGTACTGTCATCTCCACACTCAGAAATTTTCATCAAAATCATGTAAACTACAGTATTGATATTTTATTGATGCTTGATTTATAAAATTGCTATCTTTAATATCACAATGGCTACTGCTAAACTATAGTAATATTTAGCATCAATGAGAGACTATAGTTGTGGGACAGAGGAAAGAAATACTTTTAGGCCACATATCTAGGCAGGTTATTCAGCACAATTTGTACTTCTCCTAAGTCACTCTTCAAAATTAGGAGTGCAGTTGCATGAATAATGCATTTTCATTTGTGAATATTAGATTATATCTTACATCCAAAATTGTATGCTATTTTGAGTGAATAGATTTTCATTGTGATTGTATGTTTGAATTATTAAGAACCCTGACATAAGATTGCTGAACTGGGAAACTGACATATTTAATTGTTACCATTATTCTTAAATTTGAAGGAGATTAATTTTAGAGAGGCAACTAATATTTAACACAACATATTAGAAAGTAGTTAATTGAAGACTAATATCATAGACATTCCTGTAAAGGAAAACAGTAAAGTTTGGATGTTAACAATATAATAAATTATATAATACATACATATTTGGGTGGATATATTTATGTATTTTATGTGAACTACTTGAGAACTCTAATTTATTCATTTAACACATAGTTATTGAATGTGTCTGGGATATATCAATGACCAAAACAGAGTTCCATTTCAGTCTGGAGGTAACATTTCAACATTGCAAACTAGGCTAAGATAAAATAAGAGAGAGGAATTCAGAATTTGGGCACATCAGTATTTCCATGAAGTAGAAAATAAGTTACCATTAATGGTTATAAGCTCATTATTACTTACTTTATCTACTGTAGGTAAGATAAAAGCACTTGATCAGTTTTATGTGAAAGGTGAGATCTGTAAACATTTAGATTATCTTTTATATTTCTTGAAACTACTGTTCAGTTATTTTCATTTCCTTATACTTCAATTGCTGAAACAGACATTTTGCAAACATGCATACGGTAGTATACATTTTTTTAGTTTGGAAAACTTTGCTTTTCTGATCCTTTTACCCTCTACTTCAGGTTTTAAAATCGAAATTCATATCTTAAACAAATATATTTAATCTTTAGGCCAACTACAAAGTGGACAGTTTCGAGGGTGTTATGTTTGAGGAATAGCCTTATGTTTTGTTTTGTTCCTCCATTGGATTTCATTTTCCCGTTTTTTACTCCTGCTTCATTCAAATACATTATTCAGTGTGTAGAAAATTTTATTTCTTCTTATTTTTCACCCAAATGTGTTTTGTCATTGGCAAAAGTTAAATAATATATTTACACTTTAAGGTTTAATTGTTGTGTTAATCTCACTTCAGGGGCGAAAGGTTATAGTCCATTGATAGTAATGAAATAACCTTGGTGGCTCTCATATAAATAGGAACAAATGTGCACAATAGTTACATTACATGGCATATTTAACAACACTGCTAAAGAGTAAGAGGGTACTCAGTCTTTCGTGATGCAGATACACCTGAGTGCACTCAGAGAAAATTTGGTTCTGCAAGCTTGAAGGCAGTAATTATCATTCAGGAGAAATAAACTAACTTTGCATATCAGTAAAATACACACACATTCTCTTATCTATTTTCTGAGTGTTCTGGAATTGATATCAAGAAAGCAAATATATATTTATGAGAAGTAAAAATGCTGTATTCTTCTTGATCATATAAACTTAATGTAATTATGAAATTAACTTTGAGAATATATGAAAACTCTTACTTCCTAAGGTAAGTGAAGGTAAAAGAAAAATCACAAATTTTATATCAGGCTATGTAGTTTTCAAGTCCACATTTGTTCTCTAAATGCTATGTCATTAATTGTTTTTTATTATTTATTTTTAGATGGAAGACTGTATTTGAAAACTACTGTCATGTATTGAATCTTCACTGTTGAAGAATTCCTTGTTATAGTAAAGAACTTTGCAGTCAGACATTCGTCATTGGAAAGTTCAGAAAAAATAAAGTCCTTTTAAGGGAACTTCCTCAATTTTGTGTATTAATGTTCTTTAACATTTAAGTATTCTACAAAACCCAGTTTTCTCCATTGATTTTCACCTGTGGTTCATACCAGAGACTTGAGAATGTTTGTAAATGTACAAGTATCAATCTTCTTACAGTGAATAACTGCAACTTTGCTGCTGGACACTTGTATACAAGAATTAAAGGCAGGTCTGAATAAGACCTAGCTTTTTTTTTGCTTTTTTTTTTTAATAGAATGAACCATTTTCCTCTTCTGAAAATTCTGTATCTGAGCACATCAAAAGACTCTTGTAGCAATGGTCACCCAGACTTACAGAATTATGTCCCCCCCCAAAACCAGCAAGAACACATGGAAATGAACTTGTAAGGGGCCTAGAGGATTCTGGAAAAAAAAAACTAATATTCTGTTACATCTCTAATTGTAGGTTTTCTCCTGAAGATTTTTTTTCCATATACTTTCCAAAAGACCAACAAATGGATGTTGACAACAACCCAATAAATAACATTTTGCATATCTGAAAAGAAGCATTAAATATAAGCCAAAAGGTTTCACTGAAGGTCTCTTTTTCTTAAAAATAAAAAACAAGAAATATATATAAATATATATATATAAATGTAACATGTTTTCATTCCAAACTGGTAGTGGTATATAGAATCAGAAATAATAATGTTGCTTCTTATTCAAACTGTTGGTCACATGTACAGTATATAAACATAAAACACACAGGAAGGTATTATGTATGCAGTAGTATACTAGAATTTAGGAAAATGAAAATTTTAGAAAATATGTTTTGTCACCCTGTTGGTCAGAAAGATGTCTTTCTGGTTTTAACGCATGCAGGCATGTAAATATTTGTCTGGAGTCACAGTATTAATGAATGAGATCTTAAGCATCTGGTGACATCAGAACTCTGTGTCAGCCACTTTTATTTGTATATTGATCCCTTGTTAGTGCCCCAAACTGCACTATTGAGAATGGATTTGTGGCTGAACAGTAAAATCAAAACACCAGAAATATTTTTATATGTTAATGCCATATTATGTTAATGTTGCTGAAAAACAAAACCTAACAAACCCTTGATGTACCAGTCCAATACCATGTAGCCCTGAGTGATAAAGTTAAAATGTGTTGTGCTTCCCACCCTGGACAGAGGGAAGGGTGGCTACTTGTTAATTTCACTGTCTTTTTGAAAGTTACAGTATGTGTTTTCACTTTTGTGCAGATAACTGGAAGTAAAGCTGCAAACAGTGCTTATTACATGCTAAAGTTACCTTTTCTTTGTTTTTATATATCTGGAGTTACACCTTTAAAGACTGATATAAATTAGTACTCTCACTGTACATTTTATGATTTTTCTGTCATCTTAAAATTTTATGATTATAACATTATTTATTACCATAAAACAGCAAAATCTTAAGTGACTAAGAAAACTAGCATAAAATGTTTAAAGGTAGTTCTGATTGGGTAATAATTATTCGGTTAAGAGAAAAATTAACATTATAGATACTCTGGCACTAAGCTTCTATACTTTTTAGGTCTTCCTTGTATTGCTGGAACATAATTCTTTTATGTAACTCGCTATTTACCAGCTAAGACCATTTTTTTTAATACAATAAAAAGGTTATATGTACAGTTCCTATTTTAGCTTGCTTAAAAAGGGAGCAATATTTTTATTTAAAATATTGTTAGTAAATGCTTTATAGAAACTTGGTTTTCTAAGCATAGTTCTTCCATAACCATCTTTCGTTGTTTGAGCACAAGAGATTCTATTTCTAGTCACATGGAATTTTGTTTGTTTTTCCCTATATGCAGTTTTTAAAGGATTACAGCATTTGAAATTGGAGACACTTGTGGCAAGCTTTTGAATCATACATTTTTTGAAAGATTTTTTTAAAAAGCTACAATTTACCTATGTAGTAGATTCAGTCATTGCTCTGCTCCTGGCATAGAGTCATTTGTTAAGTGTGCTTGAAAGTCTTAAAATACATGCTTTCAAGACCCTCTGAGAATGCTTTAGTGTTTGGTTCAAAATAAAAGGAAATTCTAGTAAGGATTAAAGAAAAAAAAATCTATCAGCTGTATGTTAAGAGAGACTCTTACTAACATGTTGTAAATATTACAATTCATGAAATGTTATTGTAAGTCTGTAACTTAATTTTCCCCCTTTTTTAGTTAAACAGGTTGGTTTAGAAATTTGTGTTTTGGCATAAACAAGTAAAATTGTGCCCATTTTATTGTTTCCCTGCTTTTGTAATCTTACAAATATTAATGTCTAGTTGTTCTATATTATAACCACATTTGCGCTCTATGCAAGCCCTCGGAACAGAACATACTCATCTTCATGTAGGACCTATGAAAATTGTCTATTTTTATCTATATATTTAAAGTTTTCTAAAAATGATAAAAGGTTATTACGAATTTTGTTGTACAAAACCTGTACAAAAATCTGTTTTTACATCATGATGCAAGAATTGGAAATTTTTCTATGGTAGCCTAGTTATTTGAGCCTGGTTTCAATGTGAGAACCACGTTTACTGTTATTGTATTTAATTTTCTTTTTCTTTTCAACAATCTCCTAATAAAAATGTCTGAAATCTCCTTGTGACTTTATTTACAGTTCGTCTTTATTACATTTTGTGAAATGCATAGCATTGAAGGAATATTTACTTTCTAATGGGAGGCATCTAAAAACAACATAAGTCAGCTCTTTGCAATTCAAAGGGAACAATGCTCAATGATTTTATTTAACATGCAACTGCTTCTATCTCTAATATGAATTACTGTGGTGAAAAACATCATAAAAGCACACTCTGTAGTTATTGTTTAACAAGCAGATTTTCCATATTTTGTTTCTTGCTAGCTAAGCAAACTGCCCACATATACATGATTTATTTATGTACATTTCTCAGTTTATGAAGCTGTTATTTGTACCTTTTTCCTTTATATTCTTATATTCCCATGATTCTTATTTCACAAAGCTTTGTGCTGAATACTGTAAAGTAGACATGTTGATGGAACAAAATATATTATTCCCATATCTATATGAGTGTGGATTTGTAACTCTTAACTCAGTGTTTCTCTTTCAGTTCTATCAATGCGAAAATGCCTTTAGTAACTTTGAAATTACAATATCCTTTAATAATATACAAACATTTTAATCAATCTCAAGTGCCGCATTTGAAGAAATATTAGGTTGCTACCTTTGTGAATATTCTAAACAGTCTTAAGAGAATGGAAAATGGATTTTTTTTTCTGTCTGAGTTATTTCAATGAATTCTTGAAACAGTATATGAACAAATTATGATTTTTCTTTAATAAAAACCTAAAATGTGTATGTAACCATTATGAACACATTTTTTGTCTTCTGTCATTATGTGCTTATGTCAGTTAAGACTTGGTTTAAAACATCATAAAACCTCATGATATCAGTGCAATTCACTTGATAATTTAGGTTTATCCCCAAGTATTTTCACTGAAACTAGCAAATTTAAAATCTGCACAAAGCCATTTACTACTAGAGCAGAGTATTGCACTAATATAAATTATACAGACTGCATTTTAAAAACATGAATAAAGATGTTAATAGAATCAAAATTTTATTGGAAATAACAATGTAAAATTATCAGTTTTCTTCAACTGCAGGCTCAGTGCCAACACTTTTGACATGTATAGCTGATATATGTCAGCTGAACTGACCCTCAATTATTCATTTAAGTTGATCTATTAATAAAGCCTCTGTTGCACAGGGCACTACACTAGATGTTGTAATGACTAAAGTTGAAAACATAGTTGTCCCAGAACAGTTTATAATTTTGTTGGAATATACAATTGTATTTTCAGGAAAAAAAAAAGATTCACTGAGCATTGTTTGCTCAGCAGTAGACACAGAACTGGTATTAAGAGGGCATTAACTTAGACACATTTCCTCTAGGTAGTAAGAATCTAGCGACTCACTTTATATTTTAACTTTCTAGAAAGCAGTACAAGATGATTGGGGAGTCAAACAATTGGCTAAGAATTGAGAAAAAGGAAATATATATTTTTCCCTAGCTAAAGCACCATATCAGTTATTTTTTTCATGTTATTTTTTCATTTATGTTAATTATAGATTTATTTTTAACTAATGCTCATAAACTTTGTTTTAAGCTAATTTCTCTGTTTAATTATAGATAAAAGTTAATTTAGCAACAAACTACTTCTGATATGTTCAGATTATTGATGATGAATGTAAAATGTTTAATATTTATCATTCAGCATCTATATATCTCCAAGGTAAGTAATAGCCTAAAATGATTCAAACTCAGAGGACAAATTCCTAAAAGCCAAATGAATGCTAAGATAATGAGTGACATCTGTGGTGGTGGCATCATTTATATTTGGAGATTATGAGCTGTAGATTTTGAGTTGAACAATCATATCAGCTAGAACTCCTTTGATAGTTGTAACTAAAACAAATTCCTACAAGTTTAAAAATCAAAGGAATTGGTTACGAAGACAGAGGGGTCCACATGGAACCTTAAGATATGATGATAGGCTGCCCCCCAGGGCCAGGGGCCAGGTACCCTCTTTTGCTTTCATTTTTCTGCTCTGCTCTGCTTTTTTCTTCTGTCATGGCTAACATGTTTGCTTTTCTTGTTCATCTTTTAACTCCTTTATTATTCAGGAACATAAAACCCAGCCCACAGAAATGAACCAATCATTTTCTCAATCTTTTTCTATATCAGAGTTCCTGAAAATTCTGATTACCTCATGTCAGAGTACATTGCCCACAAGTTACCTTGGCAATACACTAAAACATTTGGGAAATTTTAGAAACTATTGTATCCAATTGAATTGGAATCTCTGTGACTGGGTATGGCCTCAGGATTTTTAAATATTTGAGGTGATTCTAATGAGTATCTAAGGTTGAGAAATTGGGAGAATGACCAGTATCACAAATGATGTTTCTGCTACAAGATAAGGATGTAGTTGGTAGCAAGATAGAGTCCATTGTGAACTATGCAGACACCACAAAAGGCAACTAATTGTTAGGTACAATCAAATATTTTGAAAAATAATTTTAGCATTATGAACTTCATTCTAAATTATGTATGGATTTCTTTACTCAGGTACAATAGTTTCATTATTTTTTTACATAATATTATTGATGAATCTGACTCTTATAACAACTAACTGTGCATGGAGTTAAAATTTTATCTGAATTTTCACTGAAGATTTCTCTTCTGAATATTCTAAACATTTTCATTGGTCCTTACCATTTGGGGAAAACCCATATTTTTCATGCCTAGGATAGAGCTTCTCAGTTGGAGCCCTGAGCTGTTCTTTTCAGTGACTATGGAAACACAGTTGTAATAGTCTGATGTGGTTTTCAAGATAGAAAGACGAAACAGTTAAGATATTTGCATTAATGGAGGAGCGTACAGTCGGGTGAAAGGAGATAGATAATGTTTCTACAATTTACTGGTACTAGTACAATGTCAGTCAATATAAGAAGACTGTGATGGGCTTTGCAAATATAACTTAATATCTACTAAAAATCATATGTGTGTGCATACATATATATTTCATTAGATAAAACAATTCAATGTTATAGTGATTAGCCTCTAGATAAACAGAAATATTTTCATAGTTTATCCAGCACTCTAAGCTACTCAGCTAGTAGTTTTCAAACCTCTTAGGTACTTTCGCTACTCTTTTAAAAATGCTAATTTTGTGACAAACATTGTCTATAACATTATGTAAGAGATGAAGAAGAGTTAGTTGATAAACCTCCAGTACTGTATATCTGTATTTTGTATTTAGTGCTGTGGAGCCACTTTCAACAACATACTTCAAATTGATATTTTAAAAATTAAGGACTAAAATGATTACTAATTAGCTACTCAAATTTATTAATTTAAAAAAATCCTATTACAGGTTTCTCCCACAAGTGAGGAGCTGAAAGAAGATATTGAAATCAGTTTGTCTTTTAAGTCTTCTTGTAATCTCAAAAATATTATGTTTATGTGTGTGTGTGTGTGTGTGTGTATCAAGAGAATTTTACCTGTATGAAGATGCAGAAAACACCAGTCAAAAAAAAAAAACAAAAAAATAGGGGCTGGGGATGTGGCTCAAGCGGTAGCGCGCTCACCTGGCATGCGTGCGGCCCGGCTTCGATCCTCAGCACCACATACAAACAAAGATGTTGTGTCTGCCGAGACCTAAGAAAAAATAAATAAATATTAAAAAAAATTCTCTCTCTCTCTCTATATCCCCCTCTCTCTCTCACTCTCTCTAAAAAAAAAAAAAAAAAAACATGTGAAAGTAAGACCAATAGAGGAGAAGAGAGAGAATAGAGGGAGGGGAGAGAGAAGGAAAAGGGAGAATGGGGATTGGAAAAAGAAAAAGGGGTTTTCTTTTAATTTGATCATTCAGATAAATTCATCTGACTATCATGTACCTGGGTTCATTTAAGCTGAATGGTTTACGGCTCCCTACATTAATATATTTTGATGTTTTTTAATGTATGCTTTATGCATGCTTTTTCTTTTCCCGCAGACAATTACTTTGAGACAAGAGATACATATCAGGGCCCAAGTAATAGTGGGCAAGGGATCTTGGGAAATGAAGTTCCTGCAATACAGAATAGGACAGAGCAAGAGCAGAGAATATGATCAAAGAGCAAGTGGGTAAATTACCTAATAACACAATGTATCCTAAAAGGAAAAGGTAAGGTATTCTTAATTGACTAACAAAAATGATTTAACACCTAGTCCCAATAAGTATCTCAAGTTGACTGTCAGGCGCTTTTGGGGACATCTTATGTCCCTAGGGAAGATTTCACCTGCAGTGCCTTGATGAAGCCAAGTAAAATATCTTTTTGGCTGACTCTTTTATCTCCTGAGTATTCCTTATTAGATTCAAATTACCATCTACTCATTCTTGTGTCTATGCTACATGTATCTTCAGTTAATTTCTCAGACATTTGGACTCTTACTAGGAATGTTATAGTATTTTCTGTATGCAGCAAACTATCTCTATACCTTTGTCAGAACAGTAAATCAGACATATAATCTTACCATAAAAAATTCAACTGTGAGATGGATACTGGTCCTCAGTGTCTATTAACTTCTAGGAAATAAAAATACCTAAGTGGTTCTCTGAGTAGTCCATCAAGGTCTCTTATCTAGATTTTAGATGAAAGACATACATTTCTCTAATCCAATGGGTGTTGATTGAGGCATGGAACCAAAGTAACTCACAGTTCTCACCAATAACCATGTTTTATCTCGAATTCTTTACCCTATATCTTAAACCTGTTTTATAATTTGGAGGAAAATGAATAGCTTAGTATATGAAATTAATTAACAGAGACCCATTTGCAACTTTGCATGACCTTACATCTTGCCTTAAATGTGGTATATATTTTATTTACTTATTTTCCATTTTATTAATATTTAAAAATTTTTGAGATAATTTGTATCACAGTCAATTGTAGGAATCAACTAAGAGATATGCTATGACTCTTCATTCATTTTCCTCCAAGATTATATTTTGCATAAATATAGAGCAGTATTACAACTAAGAAATTTACACTGAAACCATCTATCAATCTTATTCAGATTTTATGT